GTTGGGGTTTCTTTTTTTTTTTTTTTTTTCTTTCCTCTTTTGTCTTACTTTTTTAAAGCAATGGGAGAATCAAAGGATATTTTTTGTGACCCTGCTGCCATCTCATCCATCAACTGCCTCACTGCTTCAGATGCCACCTGTATATAATGCCGTCATGATCCAGCTGTCCTTGAACTCCTCCTGTCACAAATATCTCACTGCTCTTCACATCATACCCCCTATCTCCTCCTTCCTCCTGAGACCTTTGCAGATACCTACTCCTCCTCAGGATTTACTTCAACTATCTTGAAAGCTGTCTTGAGGCCCTCTTTCCCCAGAGAATTTTTTTTTTCTTCACTGTGCTCTAATTACAATAGAGTAATCAGCACACAGGTGTGTGTCTTACAGGAAATCATATCACATGCAGCCCTGATCTTGCCATCCAGTGCTGATCTTCAGGTCAAATTTTTAGTAAGATAGTTCCATAAACACGATGACATCATGTCATGACATCATTATTTTCCTGTAGGTTTGAATCAGCTTGCTTGCTTTTACAGGAAATTATATGTTCACAGCTCCTTCAACTTAATTGACACCAGGGAAGTGTCATACACATCACTTCCAACATTTAAGTCTAAAGTACGTGAATAACATTCCCATCATCCATTAGGTACCCACCCAAAACAGACTTTGTCATCATACAAGTGAAAACAGCTAAGTAAACATAAAAATCAGGTTTAGAGCATAAAAGGGAAATTCAGAATATTACTTCTGGGGGAAGGGTAAAGGCAAAATTACAATACCTTATGCTATGGGGCCTTCTGGCCTGGTTGGAAACACTGGATGCCATGGTAATACAATACCAATGCTAAGAGAACAAAGTTTTAATGACTCCATCTCCCATCACCCCAAATCCCTCCTAATACGGGGGAGTTTTCCTCCATGATGTAATTGCAGCCTGTACTATTCATTTTAAGCATTGATTGGAAGGGTTTTGCAGAAGAAAGAATAGTACTAGAAACTGAAAGTTCATTGTATAAAAGATAAGGTGAACTAATGCACAAAACTATATATAACAGAAGGAAATTTTAAAAAAGGCATTCTACTTTGTTCATGGACTACAGGACATGAACTTAAAATCAGCATCTCTCTTGAGGGTCTCACAGGTTTCATAGAGTCATCAAATGTTAAGGGGTGGGAAGGGACCTTAAAGACCATCCATCATCCCTGCTGCCATGTGCAGGGACATCTCTCACTAGACCAAGTTGCTCAAGGCCTTGTCCAGCCTGGCTTTGAACACCCCCTGTCTAACATTCCTTCCTTCAGATCAGTTTAGATCCAACTCTGCTCTACTGCTCCACAGGTAAAGAATAGAGAAAATAGTCATAAATTTACAAGAAGTACTGAAGCCCTCATTATTTGTTGGAAAGGAGGGGCAGAAGGTAAAGGGGAAAGTGTCACAGTTGACAGCCACGCTGTTTTCAATAAAGGCTAATGTGTGCATACCAGCACTCATTTTACACACCACTGCCAAAACTGATAAACTGCAGAGTCATCTTTGCAGTGACACTACACACAGAGCAGAGCCCTGAAAATCAGGGGCTGAAATGGTACCCTTTGGGCCATCAGTGTTTTAAGTTGGAAAAAACTTCCATGACTTTCTCTTCATTACTACCGAAGACATGGATGAGTTGCTTGTTCAGGATTCAAATTGCTGTTTGACTCTTAACAGGCCTCTACGTACAACAAGCTCTAGACATTTATGTAATCCTTGGCACCTCAAGGCTTTGTCACAACCTCTGGGAATATATTTGTAAGATTTTACTTCAAAGGGTTGAATTATGCATTTGAACTAACACCCTGCATATGATCACTGAGCTAGCCGCAGCACTACAGACCCATCCCAAAACCTGTCAGCTTCATCTATAAGAGTCTTGTCAACAGTTCATGCACATTTTAAAATTATCAAAGTGCTTTTTACTATTTTTCCAAGAAAAGAAGAGCCCTTGCGGCACATAGAAAGACACAGGTATATGTCTTTGCATTGTTTCAGTAAAAACATGCTTTTCTTATTAAAATGTGATGCTATTCTGTGATTATAATAATCTTTTTTCCTGGGAAATTTATGACTCAGTATATAAACACTCATCTCAGGAGTCTGCCCTTGTGGTGGCTTTGGCCACCCGCAGAACTTCTCACTGTGTTTGTGTATGAATTGCATCAGAGTTGTGTGTATAATAGTTTCTCCCTTCTTTTGGCTTCCCTATCCATCTGAGTGCTTGCCAAGTATGCTGGCTGGACACCTTATTAGCAACAAAAATGGTACTTGAGTCCCAGCAAGACTCTGGTGGAAGCTGGAGGTCTCCCTGTTGACTGCAGTGGTGTTCTACCACTTCAGCAAGGGCTTTCCAGCAGGTTGTTGTGGAATCTGGTTTTTTTGGTCCTGCAGACTGTGGAGAGCTTTTGATTACACTTAATTTCAGCACAGGCTAAGGGCACTCTACTGTCACTAGATAAACTCATTACATAATGCAGCTCTGTGCATGTGCTGTGCTCTCTTGTTAGTTCCCCCATAAGGCAGGTTCATGTACGTGGAAATCTGATAGGTTTTCAGTGGCAGAGGCAGATTCCTGGCTAACCATGCCCCAGCATTTCTCTGGAGCCACAGCTTTCCCAGCAAGGCTACCACATGTTCACAGTCTGGAACTGTCTCACCTCAAGCCCCAAGTGCTATGCCTAGGCCAAGCCATATGTGACCCCAACATGCTGGTCACCCCTACATGGGATGAGATCAAGCCTTAGTAAGAAAGCTGAGCCCATGTTTTCAAGAAGCAAAGAGAAAGAGAGAAGTTTGCACAGCATGTTGTCATTGCTGGTGGTATTTTCCAGATTAACAGTAAACTTGGGTTGTTTACTGGATCCCAAACTTTCTTTGCATGTATACAGGAAAACAGATGCTTCCCATTCCCGGGCCCCATGCCCAAGCAGGCTCCCTCAGCAACATCACAGCAGGGGACAAAAAGCAGGGCAGCAGGGACATTGCTTCCTGCCTCTGTGTGCTTTGAGCAGGCGATAGAGCATTATCTATCCCGCACACTTCTCTGGCCTCCTTGCCAGGCTATCAGGCGGGCTCACAGCGTGCAGTTTGCTTTTCCTGCTCTGTAGGAACAGCTGCTGCCTCCGCTCCCAAACAGGGAACAGAGGCCAGGGCTTGCAAGCACTTTGGCTCAAACAGGCCACATGGGGCAGGGATGAGAGAGCTGGGAAGCGAGCCACATCTCCCAGAGCTTGAGCAGGTGGGTGCCCCAACTACTAGGTTAGCTTTCATCTTCCAGCATTAAAGGCCTGGCATGGTCCATCCAGAGCCTGTCTTCAGTAAGCCTCAGGTGCAGTACTCCAATTGATTCATTTATGCCAGCATAAATTAAATTTCAGGCTCTTACAATGAATTAAAGAGGCAAAGGTGAAATAGAGGACAAAAGCATATGCCTGGACATATACTTAACCATTTGACTTCAGGATGGACGCCTATAAGTCTCTTGCCTCTTCTTCTGAAGTAGTGGCACTGGTCCCTGCCTGTGCCAGGGCTGTGATTTATTGTGCCTTCCTGTGGTCCAAAGAAGATATTTCATTAGCTTTCTGCCTGAAGAAAGTGACACAGGCTGCTTGAGGACGTGATGCACTCACTGTTCCCCTCTCCTGTGACATTTCTTTATATAAGCAGCTGAATAGCAAAACATATCAGTGTTCATTACTAATTTTGTTATTTATAGTGAGCTGCCACAGATGGAGACTGCAGCACCATTCTATCTTTAGGGCGTAGTGCCTGCCTGTCCGTACAGACAATTGGTAATTAGCACAAGAACAAGTTGTTTATCTATTCTCAAACAAAAATAAATAGGAGACCCATTTATCCACCAAAATTCAACTGCCTCCCTTTTCCAGCTCTCCAGGTTAACTGCTTAATGAATAGAGCTCATCACTTCAAGCATTTAAGCAAAGATAAAAATGTCTTTAAAAGAAATTAAATATGCAATAAAAAATAGCCAGCTATATGCTGTACAAATAACATTTAGATGACAAGAATCACGAGCATAAGACAAGATGAAGGTCACGGGGATGCCAAGCAGAAGTGTAGAATTGGACCAACCAGTACATAGGGGAAATGTGGTGCATATTTATTCCTGACATGTACTTCCCACCAGTACAGCCACCCAGCTCTGAGCCAATCACTCCAAGTGACTCCTTGCATGAGCATGAAACTGGAGAAGAGGCAGAGAGTGTGCTTGCAGTTCTTCAAGTAAAATCAATCCCACATGTGCTCTAAGATGACTTTGTATGCCTTGGATGACAGGACCTTTCCCAATGGAAACACCACACAAGCCAGGGAGAACATATGACTTTTTTTTTAATATTTTTATTGCTGATTCCAATCCTTCTTTTATTCACTGTACCCAGCCCTGAAGGTGGAGAAGAACAGGCTTTATGAATAGATGGACTTCCTAAGTTGCACCTAAGTGTTAGCCCCACTTCCTTCTCTCCTTATCCTCCCACCCTCTCTGTGGATGGGAGGAGTGCACTCACTATTAAGGCCAAAGCAGTCTGTGTGGAGAAGGAACAAATAACCCTTGTCTTTCTCACCATTCAGTGTTTTCAGCATCTGAAAGTGTTCACTTACTCAAGCCTGCAAGTGCAACTGTGTTTTACATGCATATAGGTGTACACAAATCCTTATGTACAGAGTGGGAAAACTGCTATCACACAGCAGAAGTGGGTCAGATCAGAGGAATTCTGCCAGGCCTCCATTTTCAATCATATGGGATCCACTAAAGCACTATTTGCTCACTGCCCTACCATCCAGGCAAATTTTATTTGGCCTTCTTATTATCCAGTTTACAGCATCCAGGAAGGGGATAAAAGCTACTAAATAAAATAAAATTATTCCAAATACAGTGGCTGGGGGAAAACCAACCAACCAAACAAACAAACAAAAATAATAAAAGGGTCCTTTTGTCTTTCAGCTCACAACTCCAAATTTTCCTGTAGTGGTCAAGCTGGGACATGCTCATGCTGGAATGGGGAAGGTAAGTAAAAGGGAAAATATATATATATATATCTGGAAACAGATACATATGTGGTTCAGCATTCCTGTGATAGCACATGGCATGTGACCAGCCAGCCAAGGGGTTAAACCTCCCCACAACCTATCTGGGTCGCACTGGCTGTTCCTGTGGGAGAAAAGGCCTTTTTCCACTGTCATGCACTTGGAGACAGGCAGTGGGATGGGGTTGGAGGCTGTCTGGGATGAGGGAAGGGGGGTTTGTGAAGGGTGGGGGAAAAGCTGGCTGGGCTGAAGTCATTAGGCTTGTCTTTTATACATTTTCTCTTCTTCTGAAAGTGGTAGTGTTGTTTATTCAAGCACCTGTAGAGTGCAGCTACACCCCATAGCACTTACAATGAGGAGCTGTGGCACTGGGCTTCTTGAGTGCATTATGATGACCTTATTCAAAAAATGGGAGCCCTTCAGTTATTTTTTTCCTCCTTGCAAGGAAGAACAAGACCTTACAAAGCAGAGTGGCTGGTTGCCTGCCAAGGAATCCTGAAAAACAGTTCACTACCCAGAAGGACCTGTTTGTTTTTCCCAGGCTCCCTGGGATCTTTATTCCCCCAGTGAATTAGCAGTCTCTGTTTCTTGGGGTGACTGGGCTCCCCTTTCAGTGAGGCATCACCAGCACATTCCTGCTGCACTTGTGTCTCTTTCTTGCATTTATCTTTTCAAAAGGCATCCCCTATCTGTCTAAAACTTGGTTTGTTCAGAAGTACAAAATTGAGGTATCATCTCTGAATCCAAATGAGTGGTACGTGAACTTAGTAACTAATATGCCTGTCGTAGTGCCTCCCTAGACCTTCTCCTGGCTTTGCACTTTGCCTGAAAAATATATATAGTTACACCAAATTTAAACTTGGTACTATTTGTTTGCTTGTGCTCTGGAAACAGAAGCCCTTTCTGGCTTGCTGGATTGCACATGGAGCATCTAATAATCTTTCTTGCTTTGGTTGCAATGTTCCCCTGTCTGGATGATAGCTGCTGGGGAGGAAGTGAGCACAGATGCCTGTGACAGTGGTGGAGCTTTCAGTATCAAGGAACAAAGATGTAAATACAAAGGAAATGTTGGTTAATATATTGGTGCTGCCTATGTTAAGCAGGCAGAGGTGTCATTGAATTAGAGTTGTGCAGACAGCCTAGAGGTGCTTGTAGGGAGCCACTAACTTGTTCCTAGGAAGGGTTTCATTAGCAAAAATCAACCAGGACAAGGCAGGAGGAAAATCGCTCCCTTGGGACCCTGCAAGCCTGCATGTCCCTGACTGCTCTGCCATTTCACCTGTAATGCAGGGCTTCATGTGTCTCATGCACCAAGGATTCTTAGTGGCTACAGAAATGAGGGCAGAATCAGAGAAAAGTATTCCAATTTTAACAGCATTTCCAGACAAAACTCTCAGCAGAATATTGTCTTCTGCACCACACACCAGATCTTCTTCCACCTCATACTTTCCCTCCCTTTTTATTCTTTAATTATGTTGATTTTTGCTGCCACAAGTTAAGGAGGAAGAGAGTTTCTATTCAGACTCCTGGCACAATTGTACTCAGAAGTACAAGAAGGGTATGTAGGAAGTCATTCCAGATAAAGATAGGCTAACAGCCAGCATCTTAGAAGAAAGAATTGGTCTGAAGCCAAGTTTACTTTAGTCCATTATGAAATTAATGACTACTAGCAAAGTCTGGATGTGCATTTGGGCACAGAGTTTCGACACTGCTCTGTTCAGTAGATGGGGAAGGTACAGGAAGCAAGGGTTGTTGACCTTATGGTTTTAGTTTGGGCCCTTCTCCAGCCACAAGCAACCAGGGAAAATTGAGACTGATTAAATTTTCTCTCTTCAGGCTCACTGCATTTCATTGCACAGAGCAAAAAGAGAAGAAAGAAAGATAAAATAAAATAAAGAATAAATCAGTTGGTTTAAAATACAAGTAACAAGAATTTGTTTCATGCTTTTTTTGAAACTGTAGGGTTCAAGCCGAAGTGGACTGACAAAAGAAACCACAGAAAATATCAGGAGAAATACAGAAAAGTGCATTTATGGGTATACTAGAAAATAACACCTACAGATTAAAAAAAATCAAACCTACAATAAAGTCATGCAGAGGAGGGAAGTTCCCAGGAGACATTATGGTGTTTTTAACTGTCATAATGCAAAAGCAATAACCAGTGAGATTAGAGAGAGCTAAATTATTTCCTTGCACTGGTTTTCAGAAGTAGAGATGATAACAGGAAATATCAGGTCTATAGCTATAAAATATACATAATATGAAAAGAGATAGGTTTGCTTTTGGTTTGATGTGTGCAACAAAGTAAATATTAATAAAGCACCTGCATCAGGTCATGTTTTGTATTAAACCAGTGATTGCAGAAACAAAGGATAGAATAACTGATGTATTAGCCAAAGTACACATGTGAGTATTAAAATAGTACTTACTGCAACAAATGATGCCAAGACAGTGAGCCTTGTATTTGTACCTGTAATTGGTGCTTCAAAGGGCGTGAGCATTCAGGTTACAGTGTTATTACAACAGAAATTGTCAAGGAAGTACTTACTTTTTCTTTTTGTTATTAATGATAAAATCACATGTAATGGGAGGCACCAATGCGTAGAAGAATGAGCAAAGATGGGAAGTCCAGGCACTGTTATTCTTTATTTGTCTGAGGCAGTGGCCAGGAGCCAGAAGAATTCTGGATTCAGAAAATGCCTCTTCCCCAAAGAGTTCCACCATCTGCTTTCAGGGGGACTTGTGTCATTTCACAGTTTTCCTCAGTTTCTCTGTGTTACATACCAGAGGAATTATAATGATTACCTGATACTTATTGCTAATTCATTTTCATAATGTTCTTGGCAGTGTAAATGCTGAATGTTTATTATTTTGCAATAATTGCTAGAAGGAGCATAATTATAATAGACTTTCATTTTCACATATTGTTTGTTTTGACATAATTTTCACAAAATTCACTCACCACATTTTTTAATCAGAGGGCTGAACAAAGAATCCTCAAAGCTAAAATAAAAAATAACCACAACAGGACTTGTACAAAATAGGCTCTATTGACTGCCTTCCCCTTAAGGGTGGGTCACCACAACTGTCTTTAGCTTGGGAGAGGAGCAGCTATTATTCAGGATCAGAACCAAAAGGGGTGGCAGTATACCATTCATGAAAGGAATGCTCTTGCCAAGTGATGTGTGCGTGTGAGGTGCACATGGAGATGGAGAAAAGAAATTTGCAATAACAGGCATCTTTTGAAATTTCCATTGAGAAATGCAGAAACAATAGTTTCTCTATTGACTTGAACAGAGACACCAGTAATAGCCTTCACTCAGGAACAGACAATCTTCTCATCTAAAAACAGAACACATGCCCCTCAGCCCCTCCCATGGCAGTCGTTATCCTCCTTCCAAAATTTGGAGTCACTTCATATTTCCGTGGCACTGCAAGATCATAACAAGTGCTCTCTGTGCTGCTGGCCCTGTGCAGTATCGATACAAATAAAATATCTGTAGAAATACTGCTTAGACAACTGTTTACAATGGAGTCAGCAGAGAAAGACCTTTCTCATGTTGTACTTAAGTTGCCCAGACTCACAGGATGAACAGTACTCAAGAAATCTTCCAGGGAAACCATGGATGGACACTGAGAGGAGATGTCTTTCCATGTGCAGAACAGAACGGCTGTTTACCCAGCAGCTCCTTAGAGGTCAAGGCATTTTTAAGCATTGTGCAGTTTGAGCCTACCTACCCCAGAAGTAATTGGGGGGTCTCTGTTGAATAGGGACAGCACTGCAATGAGAAAGGAATAACACTTCTTCCAGACTCCGGATCTCAAAATGCCAGAGCCCATGAAAAGAATAAAGCTCTGAGTGTGTTAGTATTTGCCATTTGTGTGTTAACATGACCCTAAAGTGCCCTAGGAACAGAGCCCAGTATTGCAAATTCACTCAAAGAGCCTCTTCACCTCTTCCTGGTCAGATCATGAGAAGGAAACATATGCCAGATCTACAAAGAGAGGAAAACCAGTATCTGTTCATGTGACTTTACCTATATTTATATCAGTTTTATATATATGTATATTTTGCTACTCCTACTTTATTTTTAGACCTTTCTAATTAGATCAGTTTAAGAGTCACTCCTGTCCCCTCCTGCCCCATAATTATGAAAACACCTTCTCAGTACAAATCCTGGCTCGGATGAATTTATTACATTGTAGAAGAAAAACTTGTTGTTCATAATAAGATGGTCAGAGTTATTTTCTCTCTTACTGGATGGGAAAGACTTCTCTGCTTCTTTTTTTTCCCCTGGTATAAATATAGCACAAACTAAACAGAGCCACTCTGTAATGTAAAAATACTGCAAGGTTTTTATCAGGAAGGACAGCTCGTCACCTTGTCTCTCTCGGGACTGGAAATAGAATGTTCCAAAAGTGAGAGCTTTGAAAATCCAGTATGCTAAAGGGGAAAGGAAGGGAAAGGGCTGCCTCAGTTTGTCAAGGAACAAATATTTTCTTTTAGAGAAGACAAATAATGACTTGACATGTAACATTCATTCACAACAGAGCAGCCCAATCACTGCATTCCCACTGACTCATGAGTGAGGATGTTCCAAATGTCTTGAAAATAGCAAAAACATCCCCATTTCTTCCACATCAGTCTGAAAACTTTTGCTGAACACATTAAACAGTGACTGACCCGAGGCACCAAGGACTACAGCAGCCAAGACCTGGGCTCTGTATTAGGAAGGTTCAAAGAATTGTGAGGATAATAAGGAAATGCAGATGCCATTGTGACTTCGCTATTTTGGGGTCGGTCAAAGTTAGGCCTAAACTGATTGTGGTCAGTTGGATTGGGTATTTCCTGAGAAAAAGAGCATAATTTAGGGTAGAGAAATGAAGAGATTCAGGAAACCATCTGCACAGAACTGTTCCTGAAGACCCCCTATCCCAAGATGGTAGAGTCCCTACAGAAAGGCTGAGAGCAGGCCAAGATGGACAAAAAATCACAAACTTTGTGTGGCTGCACCAGTTTCTCTGGAGGAAAACACTCAGACCATGCACTTTCACAAGCCTATCAAGACTCAGTTAAACACCAGATTGCCAAGTCCAGCCCTGGCTCAGCCTTGGACACTCACCTTCCAGCTGAACCTGGCTCTAACCTCATTTTGGACACAGAAAGTGCTTCTGCAGGTTATCTCCAAAGTGATGTGTGTTTAGCCTGTAGGGCAGAGTTAACCTCAAAAGCAGAGTTCACACTGGATGACACTCGAGAAAGGCAAAGCTAGGGCAGTCCTAGCAGACTAAGATAATTATGGCACTTTGGCCAACCAATTGTTTTTTCATGTGGCCACATAATGAAAGCAAAAAGGGACTGCAAAGCAAGACCTTGCAGCGCTTAGGCTCAAGATGAGGGAGGAGAGCCGTAGCCCTGGGACCCTGGTGTCCACATCCAGAAGAGGCAGCAGATTAGGGAACTGTGAGACAGAGAAAGCAGAAGTTTCTACCCAGACAGATCCTTCACTGAAGGAAGTTGTGCTCACACAGGTCTCAGGTGTGGCTCAGACTGCCCAGGAAATTGCCACAGTGGGGTTTTAACTCTGGCAAAGCCAATCCAAAATCCCGCCTTGCAAGAAAGGCCTCAAAACAACATCTGTGACAGGGATGGAGCAGAATGTTTCTTCATGACCTGCCCCTTGGACTGCTCTGCAGCTAAAGGCAGAAAGATCAGTGCTTCTTGGGCAGGCTGAGGATGACAACAGGTGCCAGATGCAGGTCATGTGGTGGCATCAGGCTCTGAGATGCCACCACAGGGCAAAGGGATGGTCACATCTGCATGAGCACTTCCCCGGCTATCCAGCCAGACTCCCCTTTCCAACAGGGAGCATGCTAGGGCATCACTGGTGCCTGGGTTAGAGAAGAGAGCCAGAAGGGGAGGAGGAACTTTCTTACTCAGAAAAAGCACTTGTCAACACACTGGCCCAAACCCTTCTTAACAGGTCACTAAAATGCTACAGCAAACAGCAACTTATGGCTTCAGAATGAGTCTACTGCTGCTCAAACAGCCAGCACAGCTAAACAAACAGGCTGCCAGGGCAGGGGCTGTGTTTGTATTCACTGTTTGCACTCCTCTATGCAGTTAATGGGATATAGCGTTTATCCTAAGAAGGTTGCAAAATAAAAGAGAGAGAAGGGGAAAATGGCTGCCTGTTGATTTCTTTTCAACTCCTTTTATCAGTTTCATGTATTGGCCAACCTGCCATTTTAGAAGACAGATTTGTGTCTTGTTAGGTAAATTGTAAACTTTGCTCTGGATTGATTTTTAATAGTACCTTCTTAAATAATGCCCTCTGGTGTCACACTACATCCACCCTGGATTTGGTTATGTCTGGGATTTTTTCTTCTGTTAGGAAAATGGATATCTTATTGACATCTAAAAGGGTTACAAGGCATAACGAAATGAATTATACAAAATTTAAAAGTAGAAAGCTAATAAAATGGGGGACTCAATAGATAAGGCAGGAAAATAAATCTAATTTGACTGTAACTTGAGTGCTTCCTGTTTATGAAGTAATAACCGTACCCTGGGATAAACCAGCATTAACCCAGAACACGGCTCTTGTTTTGTCAAATTTGGCTGGCTCTAACAATTAACAAATGGTGGCTCAGATTTCAGCTTTGGTGTGGTGATTATTTTGATGCCTGGTGGGAAATAAGGCTGTGATCCCCTACAAGGGGACTTCTGTGAGTTGCTTTTTCTAAAAAGTCCATGGGAACTACTCTGGCACAGGCCAGGGATGATGCCAGAGCTGTTTCCTGAGGACTGTGCAGTGGTGTAGCACTGTGGGAGTCATCTTTATTTTTCATTTTTTACTTTGTGTCCTTGATGAGTCCCCCCTCTTTATTAATCCAGCCAAAAGTCCTCAGGCCCATTAGAGAGAACATTTTCAATTGCTTTCCTTCTCTCCCTGTAGGGAAGGGGTGGTGGAAGGAATGGACCCTTCCTTTCCAGACATGCTGTATTTTTGAGGAAACATCACATTTAATAAGATGAGCTCCTTTCTAGCAATATCAATGTGGTCTAATTCCAATCTGGAGGGGGCAGCTGCATCCTTTCCTCTGCTCTGGGTCAAATGTTCCTGGGCTGAGGATGCAAACATTTCAGTTTGGGCCCCAACACATCTGTTGTACAAGCACAGCACTTTGTTTCAAATCCCACAAACGTCCTTGTTCCAAGTAGGTCATTATATAATGGCTTTTGTATTTTCTCACTCCCAAAAGGGTCCTGGAGAATATGTTGTAACACCGTGTCAGTGTCCCCTGCCCTTGCAGTCCCTCCTGTGATCATCTCATCTGGGTGGGACTCTCTTGCTTGATGTCATTCAGCCCAGGGCAGCTCTTATCAGTGCAACAAAAATACCCAGCTCCAACACAGCCTGCATTGTTTCCCTCTGGTATTTTGCAAGTCCAGGCTCTGGGTTCCCTCTCCCATTCTCCCTGCTGCCTCCAGGGCATTCCTACCACCTCACTCTGCCCTGCACATCCCCACTCAGAGGGAAACAACACAGCCTAGAGCAAGGCTGCTCCTCCTGGATGCCTTTACATATCCCCTTTATATTTGTTATGTCCTTTTTTTTCTTTTTTTTTTTTTTTTCTGGTACCCTCCCTTCCCACGGATGACTGTCATCACCCTCTGCTCCTTAGCTCAGCAGTTCCTGGATGGTGAGAGCACAGCCCTCACTACAGCAAAATGGAGAAGGACTAGGGGTATTTGCTGGTCAGCAACAGGAGAAGCAAAGATGAGTTCTTTTTCCTATTCAGGCATCTAGAAATGGTCACAGGTCAAACTGGTTGCACTTTTCACCTTCCCCACAACTGTTCCGTTTTTGAAAGCTTTTCTGCAACAGGATGTGGCTAAATCTTTGTATGTGCTCTATGTGTAAGCTGGCACTCACACAGGACAATCTAAACACAGTAAAACAGGTTAGCAACAAGCTTGTTCTCTGTTCCCTAGTGAAGATGGTTCCCACCCTCCCATGGTTGAAAGCAGATATATAAAACCACTTGTTTGCTTTTTGCAAAGAAACACCAAATACCATTGCATGTGCTTCCTTCAGCTGGCTCCACAGAGTCTGGCATCACCCTCCTTTAACACACAGCGGTGCAGCTGGGAAGCTCTTCTGGAGAAGAGACCCATGGATTGTCACCCATCAGTGCACACTTAGCAAAGCAGGGTTACAATCCCCAGCTGTGGTCTCAAAGCATCACCAAAATACAAAGTGAGGGTAATAATGTACAGAAAGTCACTCACTTGCTCATTCTTTTCATACAGCCATGGTCTTTTTTCCACAAGTTAATCCACCCTTCCTGCATATGTCCAGCCTTAAGGAACAAGACTTGTACAAGCTTCCGTGATGTACCAAACCAGTGTTTGCCAATACACTAAAGGCCATGGTTAAAGATATGAGTGAGGTGAAGTTGTCCACTATGTTTTTGTTACCTGCTTGTTCAGCTTTGCTTTCCCAAATCAATGAGCTTTTGTAGAGGTTTGATTGTATTATTAGAACTCCTACTGTTTTGGTCATTCCTCATTTCACTTTTTATTTTTATTAAATACAGAGCATTTCCCATAACTGAATACAGATCTGTGAAAAGCCATCTTCTATGAAAAATTGTAGCTCATAGGTCTCAACTGCTCCTTTGTTCCCAAGTGAGAGTCAAGTCTAACACCCAACCACCTGTCCTACCCACATGCCCATTGCCTCACACTCACACAGGTCTCCCCAAGAGTCAAAAACTCCCCCAGAGACATTCTTTTCCTTTAGAGTTTGTGTCCTGTCAAGAGACTTGCACAACCCCTCAAAGAAAGTCTCAAATGGGTTAATGTGAAATGCCAGGGAACTGAAGGCTAGAGGTGACAGACAACCAGCTCTCATGTTGATTTCCTGGAATTGGTTTGTATTTCCTGACCGTCCAAAAGACTCTGTTTTCATCCATCCCAACATGGGAAACAGCAGTTGCAAAGTTAGAAAGAAGTAATACCTCTTAAGAGATTGAATATTTTTCTGAAGCATCCTAAAAGCAAAGAGCGTCAGCAAGATCCACTTGGGCAAAGGTCTAGCTGTGTCTCTGGTGCCAGGATTAGCAGGGCTGGTGCATGAGGAAGGAGAATGGGATGGATTTGGTCTGGGTTGATGTGCTCTGGGAAGCTTCTCTCTTTGAATCACAGAAGCCTTGCTCTGTCCTCAGCTGTGTCTGTGTGGGGTTTAACTGACATTGTGCTATTCAGGTGCAGAGATTACTTCTGCTCACCAAGTATTCATGTTCTTTTTGCTCTTGTCTCCTTTTCACTGGATATGATAATCAAGGTCAAAGTTGAGAACCAGCACGACTTCCGGGACATTGCCAGCATAGTAGCCATGGCAAAAACCTATGCCACCACCGAGCCATTCATTGACTCCAAATATGACATCCGAATCCAGAAAATTGGCAGCAACTACAAGGCTTACATGTGAGTGCATGGCTGTGCCAGAGCAAGATGGGGAGGAGACAGTGCTATGGATATTATCGAGTCGGTGTCTGCCCTGGGCAGGAGTAGGTAGCTGACTTCATTTCCTTGAAGAATAACCCTGCTGTTCTCCTCCCACCCCTGAACCCAGATCCCTCATCCACCAATCATCTTCTCCATTAGTCACTGTCAGGTCACTGTTTCTGGAATGTCAATCTCTGTCTGTCTTTTTCTGAGATTCAGCAAGTTCCCAATATAATGACTGTGTTCGGCCATCACCTCTCCATCCTGTTGTTGAAGGGCTCATCTTTCCCAGCAAAATCCTCCTGCTCCAAGTACCCTCTAGCGGGAACTGAACCCGCCCACTTTCCACCTGGAGAAAAAAATAAAAAAGATTGAACTAGCTGCAGCTCCTGGAGTCCTACAGTGTCCAGGCCATAGCAGCACCCCATCCTTCAGCCCACAGCAGCACCCTCTCCTTTCCCCAGATCACAGCAGATCACAGCAACACATCACATGAGGGGCACAGAGCACCGGGTGTGAATGGCCTCAGCCGGGGCAGCACACGGCATTTCTGTGGGCATTTTTCATGTGTGCTCCTTGATACATACAAAGGAGGGAGTGGAGGTGAAACATTTCTGTGGGTGCCCCAAAGTTCCTCCCTGCTCTGTGGGGTAGGTAGTGAGGGAGGTGGCACGACAGCAATTTTCAATACTGGTATGTTTAAAAGTATTAAAAAGCATTCAGCCAAACTTCAGTAGTTACCGCGCCCAATTAGAGATGCAACCACATGAGTCAGTAAGACACCTGTTTCTTCTTACTACAAACCAGTAAATGAAAAAAGCCACACAGCACAGCTTCTCCAGAAGCTCCTTATCCAACCAGAGAATTCTGGACAAATAGTCAGCTCCAGCAGTACATTCTTCAGGTCGCCAGATAAATTGCATATGTTTCCTAATACTCACAACACTGTGACTGTTGGGTCCATGTCTACAAACCTCTAGGCCATAGTTCTGCTGAAACATAGCTAAACAAGATAATCAAATGTACACAATCACATATTTTTCAGCTATAACTGCCTAAAATTCCAAGTTGGATTCCTAGCACAGAGATGTTTAAGAAAACTAGATAATGACTGAGTCACATTCTTCATGGGAAGAAAGGACATGGGAAACACTTGCCTACTTCATGTGATCTCAATGAAAGAACATTTATTTTTAATTGAATCAGGTCAACAATAGCACCGTTGCCTAATACTACATTAACATCTCAGAGAGTCTGACTCAAGTTGGCCGAAGGAAAGAAGGTTTAAAATATCAATTAAAATTCCCTATTCCTGCCAACACACCCAGCCTTGGCTCCAGAGCTTGCTCCCCAACTGCCTCTAAGTGAAACAAAGACCAAGTTAGCCTGACTATACTCTCTCCTCACTTATTATTTGCACTCACCGTGCACTCATCCAGAACAGGGATCAGAAATAATACCAGATGACTGAGGAAAGAAAGCAGTCACACTAAGACCTAATCCCACTTGGGAGTATAGCTGCACAAACAATTGTTTGCTAAAGAAAAAATGTTTTCATGTGAAAACAGTCATGAATAGAGAACACCTTAATGAGAAATGAAGCTCATTAGCAAAGAAAACAAGCAGCAAAATTCACCCAGTGACTTCCTAATGGAGGTTGACTTAGATTCAGAAAGCCATTTATGGATGTGAGCTTGGGAGAGTGGTATAATCAGTCCCAACAGGAACTGTTCCTTCCACCCCAGCATTAGACAAAATAAGTTATTTCTATGGCGTAAGTCCCTAGTATGTCCAAAGACAGAGGTAAAAGAACCCAAAATATCAGAGCTCTCACTGGTGTCCCAAATAGGAGACTCAAAACCATTAGTCATGCTAGCAAATCTCAGCCTTAAAGGCAATTCCAGCATCTGCAGTAGCGTCATACTAAGTGACTTGCTTTGATCTGTGAGCCATGGAATCTATCCAGTAATTTTATACCTTCACCCACACATATAGACTTTAAAAACCCTTTTCTTTTGAGAAAAAACTGCACTAAAATTCTCCAGAATATGTTTACTTTGCACCAAGCATCTGCCAGAGGGAGGATACTGCAGGGTGAGTCATGCATTCCTCCCTGCCCCAGATGTTCAATGCACTTCCTTCCAGCCCATGGCCCAAGGCTTCAGTTCAGTTTCCCAGTTCAGCTTCAGTGCAGTGACTCCAGATTTACACTGCTAACAAACTCCAACTTTGTCCATGCCTTGAACCAGTCTGAAAACAGCAGATAAGCAGCGCATGATATGTGCCTAAAATTCCACCAAGTGTATTTGGCTGCCATTGTAATACTGGTAAAGAGAAAACATGAAAACTGTTCATGTTACAGGGGAATGGGGGCACAAATTATGCTTCCACACTCAGCCCAACTGGAGGCAAACAGCAGGATCATGTCCAGTTTAGACTCATGAAATGTTGCTCACTTTGTATTAAGCCAGCAGCTACTGGCTTTCAGACATGGGCTATTCTAGCCACCAGCTCTTAGTAAGAGGGTAATATCCTTCCTCTGTAGTTTCATGAGTGAGATTTCTGACTTGTCATCTCCAATGCAGTTCAATGTGCTCTGTAGGGGATACCACATCAACCGTGTCTAAACTAGAGCTACTTACAGACTGAGATAGGACACCAAGAGCTCTTGATCTGCTCATTTTTCCACTTCTAAACAATGCTGAAGGTGTTGTGGTCACAAATGTGTTTGAGCAACTGATCTCTAAAAGTTTGGGGTCCTTCTCTTTATGATACTGACTGTACACTGTGTGGCCCCCTGATGTTTAGGATGGTAGGAAGGCCTTTCAGTCCCTAAGAGAAATGGGGCTTGAGGCAGGACATCCTTAGCAAATTTTTTTTGTCTTAAGTCTCCTTTTTCATTTCATACAATGCAAAAAAAGAAAATCAAAAAGAAGCAGTATGAGGAGCAGTTGGGGTCACTTGGTCTATTTAGCTTAGAGAACAGGAGACTGAAGGGAGGCCTCATCACAGTCTACAACTTCCTCAGAAGGGGAAGAGGAGGGCAGGCACTGATCTCTCCTCTCTGGTGACAAGTGACAGGACCCAAGGGAATGGTCTAAAAAAGTTGTGTCAGGTGAGGTGTAGTTTGGAATCAGGAAAAGGTTCTTCCTAGAGGGTGGTTGGGCACTGGAACAGCTCCCCAGGGAAACAGTCACAGCACCACATCTGACAGAGTTCCATAAGCATTTGGACAATGCTCTCAGGCACAAGGTGTGACTCTTGGGGATGGTGCTGTGCAGGGCCAGGAGTTGGGCTCGATGATCCTTTTGAGTCTCTTCCAACTGAGAATACGCAGTGATTCTGTGATTCTGTAAGTTTGGGGGCACAGCTGACAGCTGAACTGCTCAGACTTGCTTGGAAGGGAGTGATCTCGACACAGGCTGTGGTGCAGGGTTTGGTGTCTGATAAAGTGGGCTTCAGATAAAACTCTTCAGTTTCAAAATAGAAAAGTTCCCTAACAGGAAAGTTAGGAATACAGCAGAGAGATATATTTTATATCTTATGTCCAAAACTGGCTCAAGATGGATAGGCATAAACAAGTCCAACAAATTAGCCCAATGGCTCAAGCAGAGTTCTTATTTTGGGAGCTTTCCCATGTCAAATTTCCATGTAAAACTGTCAAACTGTGGTTTAATATTCTTAGGGACAACACAACTGCTTACATTTGGTATGCCAGGTACATTTTCTAAACACGAATGTCAAATCATCTTGTCACTAATGAGACTCCAGGAGTTCCCACCAGTACTAATGGGATTTTGAAAGTCCTCTGCCACTGCAGGGCAATTTTCTGTTAAAAATAAATGATAGCAAAGAGTGGTTCTTCCCATTGCAGAACTGAAAAATAAAATCCTAAGAATCCCATATCAAAAGAGAAAGAAAGGCTGAGGACTGAACACTGACCTTACAGGCCATCAAAGGGCTCATGACAGTCCAAGCTTGAGGAGGAATCCATTCTTTTGCTTAGGAAGTAGGGCAGGAAAATGGATGCTGGGTGAAGGCAACAGGCCCAAAATGAACTATATGAAAACACAATTATTTCACACATGCTCCTTGGCCCCCCAGTCCACTCCGTTAAACATGGTCACAAAGATCATTTCAATTTCACAGCAACTAAACATACCAGTTTGGAGGAGAATTGGGAAAAGCACACCAGGGTGTCTCTCAAAAGAGTAAAGGGGAGCCTTAGGTAGTCAGCTATAATGATTCAAGTTTATAGTCTAGCAGGACATCAGTATTAGCACTGCTGAACATAGTTTTGCAAATTCAGTGTCTTTTGTACGTGCTGCTGAAAATGTGAGAGAGCTGCCAGCAAGGGCTCCCACAACCTCATATTGAAGTGTTGGATCACACCTCATACTCCCCTCATAAATCTCTTTCAGCGTGGAGAGGCTTCCTGGTTGTATCCTGTCAGCTTGTTGACTTGTCCTGGCTTGTACACTATGGAAGGGTTATCTGGAGTGTTGTCAGAGCAGGCTGTCCAATGTCTGCCTTGGGCCTAAGGTGAAGAAAAGGAAAATTTTCACCACTGACACTGATGGTGAAACCCGGAATTTTCTAGCAACAGTACATTTTTTGGAAAATAAGTATCAGTTGCAGCTAATGAAACTCCAAAGATCTTGAAATAAGAAATTCTCCAAGTCCTAACACAGTGAGCCACCATGAAAAGTCAATGAAAAGTCAGTATGATAGTATATTTTATGACATCAGTACCACTGAAATCAAATTGAAGCGGACACAGAAGTACAACTGAAATCAAATTCAGGTAGACCCAGAATGTCAGAACTGATATTCTGTGAAGCTGCTCAGCAAATATTTGCTTGGAGAGCTTCTGTTCCATGGATGGAGGATGCTACCCATTGCAGAACATAAGAGTGATTATCCTAGAGATCTTTTACACACGTTTCAGCTCCCCTAGGTCTAATGTATAAAGAAAGAAAGTACTCACAGAGCCTGATGTGTGCTCAAGATTCCTTGGAGGTTTCTCTGCCTAAAATCTTCAGTCAGTTTTTCATGAGTCTGAACAACATATCCTGTATGGAGTGTTGTTCAGGAAGGATTTGGAAAGGCTTTTGGGAGGAAGAACCTCACCTCATCCCCTCCTGTACAAGCACAGAGTCAAGAATGAGGACTACAGTATGCAGGAGGATGGGTCAGGAGTCTATTTTCACGTTCAGGTTCTGTTTTTGGTTTGTTTTCCTAGGAGGACTTCCATCTCTGGAAACTGGAAGGCAAACACAGGTTCTGCGATGCTGGAACAGATTGCGATGACAGAGAGGTAAGGAAGAGTGTTTCAAGACAGTATGAGTTATTCTTGGGTTAGAAGGGAGGAATTGTATTTCCGACTTTGGTTAATTAAGAGAACTGGTAAGAGATGTCTCCTGAGGGGCTGGATAAAGACTTTAAAAGACCGAGTGTTTTCTTAAAAAAATACTAAGGACACAAAGGCAAACTGTCCTGTTTTGAAGAACAGACTGAAAGTACAGCTAGAAACTAACATTGCTAAATCATTAGATCTTTAGTGAATGCAACCACAGGAAACAAGACCAGCATGCTAGGTCAAGCGTACCAGTACAAACATGTAGGGATAAAATCAGAAAGGTCAAAGCACAAAACACAAAGTAACATGAGGTTATTCTAAAAGTATATTACTAATGAGAGGCAGAAAAAGAGTTTTTCTTCTGCTTAACAGAGGAAAAAACTGTTAGCTGAAGTGCTGAAAGCACATTTTTGCTTTAGTCTCACAAAACTGGTCACTGTCTTAAGCTAAGGTCTTCTCACTGTTGAATAGAGCAGAAAGAATTCCCTCATGCATCTTACAGACTAAAATTTGCAAATGTTATTTCCATGTATTCAAATCACTGTGATATTTGCTAATACTGCAACTGCCTGACACTGTGGACTCATGGTAACATGTTTTGCTGTAATTCCTATCCTGCAGAACTAACACATGTTCTCATTGCTTTTCTCCATCCCACCTAAGTAGATTATTCACAGATTTATAGAATCCATAGATTACATGTAGGAATTCATTCTTAGTGAATTTAAGATTTTCAGATTATACCTCCAGTTTTGCCAGGTTCATGATTAATTCTGACTCCGTCCAGTTTTGGGCACCACAATTGAAGAGAAATAGCAAGGAGCTGGAGAAAGTCCAAAGGACAATAAAAGAAACATTTCAGAAAAAAACTAATGAGCTGTTGAGAAAAACTTGCAACAATTCTATGTAGTTCTATGTAGTTTTCCACCTTTTTCAGTTAGCAGACCACTGATATTTTTCCAGTAGAGGTGTAGACTACCCTGCCTGCAGTGCAGAGGTTCACTCTCCTTCATTAACTGTTACAGACCTGGAAGAAGTTGCCCACAAGCTGAACACCTCTTCATCCTAAAGATGAAAAGGCCAAAAGAGCATAGGGTCTTTAAATATACGAAAGCCTGTTAATAGGCATTTCTCACTACTTACAAGTATAATACTGTAAGAAAAAAATTATATCTTAAAAGGTTCCTTTGAACATTTCCTATATTTTCTTAAAGTAAATTTAGCATATCACAGAAATCAATGCTTTGAAGGGGATGGCAAATCTCTGTCCTCTTTCAGACCAGATTAAAAAAATGTCTCCTCTTGGGAGCACGAGAGCTTTGCAGGCAACCATTGAAGGTCCCTCCTGCACCTTTAGTTCTGTGAAACAGGGAAACAAAGCCCCACATCAGATGCTGAAGGTGACTCTGCAAGACCCTAATAGTACTGTGGGAATTGGACATGATTATGCATCCTGGCTGTTTATAACACAGCTGAAGCTAGACACATGAAGGATAAACATAACCTTATTGCAGTGTTGTAAGACTAAAACCTAGATTCCTGCCAGAATACAACACTGCATTTTGAACGTTTGTTTTGTAATTTGTACCACAATTAAGCACTCCAGCCTTATTCAGCCATAAATGCAACAGACCCGTCGAAATCTGTGAGTTGCCAGTGCATTAAACAAGGCAGGAATTTTCTCAAATGCTCTGGTGAGTAGGAGCAACCTGAAGTACCTACTGTATGAACATAAGTACAAAGGATTGAAATGTTCAGGTAATGCAGAAATTACAATAAATCCTCTGAAAATGCAACACCTGGTGCATGTGCATAAATATGCTCTTCTTCCCTAAAATACTACTATTACATCCCAGTGGCCCTGATGCTCCCAGTGCTCACCTATGGCCAGTAAACATTGAAGATGTGTAGCCATCAGACTCTCTGGCATAATCTACAATTCCCTGAGTCTGGCTGCTGAGCCCAGACACCTCGAGATGTTCTTCAGGAAGAGAGGTGGTTCCCACAATGGTGTCCCTGGATGCTGGGCCACGGCAGTGCAGTGTTCTCTCTGCCTCCTGCCTGACCCATGCAGCCCATAATTCTCCTCCTCCTTATGCTACTGACTCCCCCTCTTACACTGTCTTCCTTGGGGGTCCAGGGTGAGCACACTTGGTCTCCTCATTAGGGATAAAAGAGCACCAGTAGTCATATAAGCCATAATTTTTCTTCTTCCCAGAGACATTGTGTTCACACAAGTTCATCATTATACTGTCAAGCTATGGGGACTCTGGCTGGCTTCAAGGACATAAATTTGTTATTTAGCCAGAACAGCTCTTTCCCCAGTCCCTGTAGGGCCTGCAAAATGTCAGTGTTTTCATGAGACTGTGGCCTTCTCTCCCCTCTCTGTATCATGTCATAGTCCTGCTTACAGATCTGCTGTTCTGAGATTATTATTTTTATTTAAATGGCCAGGACCACGGCACAGCTGCACAGGAAATAAAATCAGGCTGCCTCATTCCCTCCTCATTTGCACAGTGGGGGGATGTGGTCCCCCCATAATATGCCTCTTGTCATTCTCGCTCCTCCTCTGACTCCAGGATAGCTGAGGGGCCACTAGCTCACATTCCCATCCTGGGATGGATGGGGAAAGTGCTGCAGCCTGAAGGTCTCCCTCCAACAAATAGTGCCTGGTCCATGTGATGAGACTGCCTGACTAGGAACAACACCCAAGGGGTAGAAGGAACCAGGAGACTGTAAAAAGATAAAACTGAAAGTAAATTGTAAAATGCAGGAGCTACTGCGTTACAGATCAGAGAAGGGATGGCTACTCCTTGCTAAATTCAACACTCACTTTCTGATCCTATTCCAGTCCAAATGTCCAGGACATCTTATCAGGAGAAAGCTGCCTGCATAATGGAGGGCTTTCAGGCAAAGCCAATACAAACGCTGAGGGGCCAACACTACTGGGAGATTAAATGAGCTAAATATTTATAGCTTGGCTGAATGACAACCAACTGGAGATCTGATGTAAATACCAAGGAAGGAAAGAAACATTTTAAGGTGGCTTGAGGGCAGGATTGAATCAATCTGAAATTAAGGGAAACTTTAGGCAAGATTCTTTATTTTTACTCCATCTCCTGTGAGTGGAGGTCAAGAAAGAGAGTCAAGGACGCAGCAAAACACATGAAGGACACCTTGTAATAAGGGCTCCCAAATCACTTTGTGTTCCTCTGGGCCCCAGGGTGGGTGGCTGGTTTTGGGGGACTACCCAAGGACAGTTAATCCTAGGCCATGTTCTCGTGGTTTCTGCAGGTACCGACTCTGGGCAGACGCCTGCTCAGAAATGTTTGGAGGTCTGGATATCTGCGCTGTCAAAGCTGTCCACAGCAAAGATGGAAAAGACTATATCATTGAGGTGAGAGCACAGGCAACCTGAATGTGGGTCTCCTTTGGGAAGTGTAGCTGCAATCACTCTGCCTTGGAGTTCACATGCGCCAATGCTCACCAACCCTGCGCGCTGCTGCAGTGTCTGCCCCTCCGTGCCCACCTGCATCCCCAGGCCATGGCCCGCTGATGTGCTAGGAGCTGATTCAGAGCCCCAGCCAAACTAGCAGATACACAACAAGGTGTCAGGGAAAGTGCCTTCCTTTCTCAGTGTGGACCGTGAAAGGAAATGGAGAGCCACAGAGTGTTTGGCCACCTCAGCTTTCCAGCAGATGATTCAGTTCATTAAAAATCTCAACTTCTCTCTGAATGAACCTTTCTTTGATCACTTTAAAGGGCACTTCCGAACAAAAATACTAGTTGCACCTTATTTAAAAGAGGAAAATAAATGGTGACAGTGTAGCAAAAGGTTCACAAGCAACAGGAGCATCTTGATAGAACAAAAAAATAAAGGTGTATTTTCTAAAATCTTTTGCATAGATAGCATTCACTACAGTAAGAGGCCACAAAGTTAATGAGTACATTTTGTACATTTTGAATACATTTTGTATTCAGGGCTGGGCAGACCGTGGCTTTGAGAGCTAAAGCTCAATGTGCTCCTTCCCAGGCCAGGAGGCAGATATAGAGGTGGGGTAAATAGCACACTCAGATCATCCTAACAGGGCAGAGAAGGAAAAGCTGGCCAGAAAATCAAAGTGGGAAACTGAAGAGATGCCCTGGAGGAGAGACAATCCAGCAAGTAAGCAAGTGCCTCTGTCAGTATGTGGCTTGAGGAGACACAACATCTGACCTGCTGTAAACCCCACCAACACAGGCCAGCTGAGGAAGACAGCAGAGCCAGCCTATTGGCTTCATGCAGGGGTGCTGACACACTGGAAAGCTATGTGTGGGAGAGCAGTCCCACCCGCTGAGCGCTGGGATGCTGATGAGAACCACATGAGCCCTCCAGTGACTGCGCATTCCTGCATTATGTATCTGCTCTCCCCAGGGAGAGGAGCAGTGACCTGTCAAAGGCCATGTGACAGAAGCGTGCTGCCAGCAACCAAACGCTGGCAAGCCTCTGTCTTTTCCTGAATTGATGGGGCCAGGGCTAATGGGTCTTCTCCCCTATGCAATTCATCAGCACCTAGAGGAGCATCCCCTAGAGCAAACTGTTTCCCTGCTGTGCACTTTTAAATCTCTATGCCCCTGCAGCTGGGAAAGAAAGAGGAAGAAAGCAGCCTTGCTAGAGACAACTGTAAGGACATTTGGATTGTGTCCACACATGGTTAGACGTGATATGTGGTTTTCATATCCCTACATATATTCTTGCACATAAGCCTACGTACGTGCACACTCTGCTAGTTCTGGGCTTAAAGATTATATGGCTCTGTCTGGGTATGCCTCTGGGTTTTCACATCTGCCACTGTGTGTGACTGACTGGTGAGAAGCACATCTGTACCCTAACAGCCAACATCAGCTTGCACACAGAGAAATGCACGCTCATGCTCCTCTCTCTGTGACCAAGGTAAGCAGCAATGCATCTTATACAACACAAATCAGAAGAAACACAATATTGCTTCAGATGGGTCGTGCTGAATTATCCCAGTGGAGAACCTGATTGAGTGGGCCTGATATACCAACATCTAGCAGGCATTCAGATGCCAGGCTGATAGATGTTGTTGGGAAAGGAGTAGAGTAGTGCAATATAAGGACCAGAACAAAGACAAACAGGTACCTTTTTATGCAGATCTGAGGGAGATGTTGACAAGTAATTAATTGCCTCCAGCCAACTTCCTGGGGTACTTTTCTTGGTCTGAAACTGACCCCTTGTTTGCTTTTTTCTTTTCATAGTGGGAGAAAAAAGTTACTTGACAGAGTGACAGTTGTATTTTCTTGGTAAGAAGGAACAGTGTGCTGTGACACTTTACAAGAAAGCATGCCTAAATGGGCTAAACAAACAAGGAATTTGCACAATGCAGTTGCAGACAGTAATTAATTTTCACAAGGTAGTTCTTCAGGACAGATTCACAGAGGTAGTGATGGGCAGATCTAGAACTGAGATTTATCACAGTGGTTTGTAGCAAACAAAATAAGATTAAGGCAAATAAGTTATCAACAGCACAAGAGTAATCTTGCACACATGGTATTTTCTCTTACTTGAACTTCACCTTCTTTTCTTTTCCCATGACAAACAGCAGAATCTGTTACATTTCTCCCTTCAGAGCATTAGCAACCTTGGGTACCATTTTCATGGCTCCTATTGAAACAGATTGTGAATTTAACAGTAAATGCTGGTAATTATTTTTTCCTCTCCTTTAAAGAACTTTATCAGCAACATGTATGGTTTAATTATCTTCCTTCTCCTTTTTTTTCTTTTTTTTTTTTTTTTTTTTTTGTAATCTAGCCCATTTCCACATCTCTGCTAAGATGAAATATATGAAGATAGCAAAGGGCAAGCAAAATAGTCCATGTGATTTATTCTTCCTCTTGGAAGAATAAGATAAGCTCTGACTGCCATACAGCTAAGCTATGTTACTAGACATGCTCCTCGCTGCCCTGCAAGGAGTCCTGCTCATCCCTTCAGCATTGCCTGTCATTTGTTTTGATACGCCCAATCATTGATTTCCTTCCTTCCTTCCTTCCTTCCCTTCCTTCCTTCCTTTCCTTTCTTCCTTTCCTTCCTTCCTCCCTCCCTAGAAATCACCTAACACTCCACTCTTGCACATCAGAGTGTGAAAAAACAAGCCCAGGTTTCAGCATCAGATAGGCACAGAGGGAGAACCAGGACGATCTTTTCCTGACTCTCTTTGCCTGGGCACTTTTCCTTCACCCCTCATTCACCTTATCAGGCAGCAGCAGCTTCACCAGGAGCAGCCTCTGACCTTGGGCAGCTACAAAGGCTGGGTTCATATGTGCTGACATCTTCTTGCCTTGCCCAGCTGTTTTGTGATCACCCAGGAAAGGATGAGTGCAATCTGTCTGTAAATCACATATTCCTTTCAGCCAGTTGATTTATTCAGTATTAGCATTTGTATCTGCCCAGTTCCAGACCAATTCACCCTTCCTGGAGTACAGGCAAGGTGACATCTCATGATTCTTCTCAGTTCAGTGTCAACCAGTCAGAAATCACTGCCATTTTCAAAGACATTCCCTTCTGCATGTGATTGTTCACTCCTGTATTTGCTGGCTCCCAAAGCAGCAGATACCCTCATCCCTGGTACATCTTCACTGGTTCAGGTGGAACCTGCTCCAGGGTTCACTGCTCCAGGGCTCACTCCCCCTGGAGCCTTTGGTTTATAAAGCATCATCTTCCTCTTCAGCCACTGCAGCCACAGAAATAGGAAAAAGCAGTCCTTGAGATGGGGAAATCAGCTCTGGTGTTCTCAGCACAGGAAAAAAATGGACCTGTTGGAGTAGATTCAAATGAGGGTCATGAAGATTACTAAAGTGCTGGAGAACCTCTCCTATGAAGACAGCTGTGGTTGTTCAGCCTGGAGGAGAGAAAGATCACGGCAGATCTTATAGCATCTTCCAGTATGTAAAGGGGACCCATAAGAAAGGGTCCTTTTAGCAGGACAAATGATAATGATTTTAAACTAAAGGAGGGTACATTCAGACTACCTATAAGGAAGACATTTTTTACTGTGCAGACAGTGGTGGATGCCCCATCTGTGGAGACATTCAAGGTCAGGTTGGATGGGGCTCGAGAGGAATCTGATCTAGTTGAAGATGTCTTTGCTCATAGCAGGGGTGTTGGACTGGATAGCCTTTAAAGCTTTCTTCCAGCCCAAACCCTTCTACGAGTCTATGAAAAGCGGGGTTCGGGGTGTTCTGAGCAGAGCCGTGTCTCGGTGACTCCAGGGCGGGGGAGCGGGAGCGCGGCTCGCCTGACTCTAGGCAGGGCAAGGGCAGCATCTGGTGGTCACACGGCATCATCTAGTGGTCACACGGGCCCCACGCACCGCGCGGGACTCTGCTGCTCTCTCGGGAACTGTAATTGCCGCATTTCCTTTAAAGACAGGAGTGGAGAGGAGGGAAACCTGCGCAGGGACCTGCTGGAGGTCCCCCAGGAGCCCCTGGCTAGTGAGACCCAGGTGGGAATTGGCCATCCCCTGGCATTGTTAGGAAGCGTCACATTCCTCACCTAATTTCTCAACGGAAGAACAGCTAAGTGGATAGTGGAAGGAAAAGCCACCTTGTGTATTTAGCCAAACACTGACATATAATTTTCTAACCTTCTCCTTTTGTCCCCTGGGCCAACTAGGCCACGGGTATAAACATCAACCCCCTTTCCATGTGTACCTTAGTTAAAACTTTCTAGGTAGCTTTTCTAGTGTTCATAGAAGACACCTGTAGAATTTAAACAAAACCATTACTCTGCAAGGAAAGAGCAGAATACAAACTCAGTGAACTCACCTCACTGATTTCCTCTACTTTAAATCTAAAAAAAGAGGGTGCAAAATTTTCCATTTCCCTCCAAGAGTGTACTCCTGTGGCCTTGCCAGGGTGGAGTGTACTTCCGATTGTTATCTGAGCGTGAGTCAGTGCCTTTCTTGAGCAATTTAAACTTCAACTTTGCATTTCCAGGGATTTTAATGTTTTCTTTAAAAATAAAAGCAAAATAAAACAAACCCTTCCAACCCTGATATTTTGGTACTATTATATTTACTCCAGCTGAATCTTAACTTCATCAGAATACAGTTCTTCCTGTGGGATTTAGCTAATGTTTGCAAAACACTTGATTTATGATGAACTGTTGAAAATCATGTTCAGGGCTGCTATACAGCTGAGGGTCTGCTGTGCTTTCAGTATTATTGTTGTGAGGCCACTTCTTACCTCAAAGACCCTTTGACAGTTTTCCTTCCCCCATCCCCACAGTCTTGCTTCTCAGTTTTCCCCATTAGATTTGTAGAACTTGCTTAGGAAGCAGTTGTATCACAGCATTATCAAGAAGACAAGCAGAGACCAAGTTTATTTTCCTGCACTTGGTGCCGGTTTGGTGACATCCTATTCATTACACATCTGTGGTGTTTATTTTCCCTCTCAGAGTGCAGTGCTTTGTGTTCATTAATCCCAAATGTTTCCTAGTTTCCTCCAGTCCCTGTTACTCTCATCTCCTCAGGCTTCAGTACATGTTGTTTCTTTTCTTCTGTGGCCCTTTAAGTTTAAATGTCACTCCCAAGTTCTGTGGGACAATGCCAGAGAGACCTTATCCTTTAGAGGCATCTCCTCAGGACAAAATTTGTATTAAGTCGATTTAGAAAGCTTCCAGCCACCATAACTCTTGGCTTGGTTCCCAAGCTGTGAAGGGAAGGAAGATGGAGACTTTGGGGAAGTATATCTCCAAAAATACCTGAGCGAAATCCCACACCTGGAAAAGTCAAGCATGTTTCAGCACGAGGAGAGTGGTGACTGTAGATATTGACAAGGATGTGCAGACACAAAACAGGTTAATGTAAGAAGTGAGTTGAAACAGGCATCTGCCAGCAGGAAACCACCTTACTAACTGTTGTTTTTGCCTCCTGTGGCAGGTGATGGACAGCTCAATGCCTCTGATTGGGGAGCACATAGAAGAGGACAGACAACTTATAGCTGATCTGGTTGTTTCCAAAATGACTCAGCTTGTCGTCACTGCTGGATCTACACCGTCACCGCTGAGGCCATGGGTATGAGCGAACAGAGACCTTGTGACCAAGTTATTTCCCTAACCTCCTTTCTTTCTCCCTCCTTGCTGAGTGTGTCGGGCAGTCACACATCTCGGAGAGCTGAACAGTCCCACCTGGGAGTGTATTGGACAGACTGACTCATGCTCTTCTAAAGGAGACTCACAGGCTCTTTGAAGTGGGTGCCCCTAAGGAACACATCTCTCTTCCTTACTCTTCTTTCAGTTAAATATGACATCACACCAGTAGCATGTCCATGCATCTAGACATTCTGACTTGCTAAATTCATTGATTCACATTGAAGACAGGCATCTTAGAGGTACTTCTAATACTCAGTTTCATTTCCGTCTAACACCATCCCTCAGGATAGGCTTCATTCTAGTTTTTGCATCTCTGTTCTGCTTTCAAGAACAGAAAGTGGGACTCTCCAGCAAGACTTGTTCCATTCCTTACTGCAGTTTCTTCTTCAAAGCTGAACTCATATAAGAACCTGTTACTTTTGCATTTAAACCATCCCCTTAGTTCTTCTTGTGTACATCTATTTTGAGTATCAAATGCATCTAATTTTACTGCCACATTTCCCAGAGGCAGTTAAATATAAATGAAACACCCCAGAACATAACCTGAGTACCCAGGTGTACTTGCTACATCTCTTTCAGTATCTAACAGAGAGCCAAGTGTGAAGGTTTGAGGACAACAAATTTGTACAACAGAAGAGACAAGAGAGTAAAAAGTTGAGGGACAAAAGTGATTGCAACAGACTGGTACAATTTTCATTTCCACTTGAGACAAAAAAATGGGAGAAGGCACTTTATGGTGCTCTGCCTTTGTCATATGACAGTCCACTCCTGCTAAACGAGGACCAGCATGAAGGGTATTTGGAGTAGCTCCAAGTTTTAGCTAGAGTGAAGGAATAAACATTTAATAGACACTGAAAATGCTTTGAGGCAGCAAAAGCAGTGCAGAAGAGATAGCATTTACAAAGTGGAATCAAGAACTACCATTTGAAATAGTCAAGATATAGAGTGCATGAACTAAGAGCAAAGGGCAAGCCAACAGAAACTGAGAGCATGGACAGAATGCATCTGTTTTCCATGTCTGTAATATACTGGTACAGGATTGGATGGGATTACAGCAGACCTAAATTAAGGCCAAAACAAAGCCAAAGCAAATCTTGAAGGGATAGAGTGTCAAATAGAAGAGTCAAATAAGCAAAGGGTCTTCATTGGGAATAAAACCTAGAAATACCTGTATATGTAATCAAGAGAACTAAACACACAAACATGTTAACTAGAGTGTTTTACTAATAGAGAAAGAGCTTGGTGCCACAAACATCACAAAAATGTACATGCTGCATCACTAATATAATGTTCTAACAAATTGAAGTGTCCAGAGAGAAAGAATTAAATATGAGGCTAGTGAGATGCAGAACTAGAGCTACAGATGAAAACTTCTACAGAAGCAATACAAAGAGCAATTCTGAATATAAAGACAGCAGTACTGAATACATAGAAATATGAATCCTTGGATAGCCTATGGGTATGAAGAGAATACCTATACTTATTGGACCTCTCTAAACTAGTCTCTGGATTGAGACAAACTGATAAATTATGAAACTGCACAGAATTGACAGAGATGGAAAAGTAACAAGTCACAACAATGTGAGACTTCAGCTATCAAGAAGCAAGTCAAATATCACAGGGGGACAGCAATTCAGAGGGAGGTAAAAACACCTTGACTTTGCCATAGGAAACATCTAGGTACAAAGTCAGATAGTGAGTGTGTACCATTAGACTTAATGTCCAAGGTACAAATGTGGTATCAAAAAGTAAGGATATAACACAAGCATGAGAAAAGAAAATTAATCAATTCCCTAGCAGCAAAACTGTATAGATGCTATTTGAGAGACCACTGGTTTCCAGAATGCATATATATGTTTCTGATCTGCTCCTGAACCAAGAATGTGAGAAATAAATTTGTAGAATTGAATGATAGAAAGGACATTTAAGACAAATGGGGAAAAAAATATCTTTCAAATTTGTAAATCTGACATTTAAGATGACATTTATGTGGCATCCTACAAGTAATAAAAGGAAATGCAAAAGGGGCAGAAATTAATTTTGAGGAGCAGATAGAAGAAAGAATGAAAAAAGTTCTTTGAGTTCATCAGAACAATGGATCCCTACCAATTTGTAGACTCCATGGATCAGCCAAAGTTTAGGGTGAAAAAGAAGACAACAGGGACAGCATTGTGACTCTAGTAAATGTAATTGCTGAAAGTGGGGAACTTCTTTACCTCATTATAATTTTTCCTGATCAGAATGACACAGAAAGGAACAAAAACAGTTATCAAATCAGTGATGACTGGTATTTTTAAAAGATTATTAAGCCCCAAACTCCAGATGGCCACATCCAATGAGTTGAATTTGGGAAGTGACTAAGCTGCCAAAAAACCTGCAATATCATTAGAAATAGTTAATGCTCCAGAGAACTGGTGTACAACAAATACAAAATATGTTGCTTGAAAGCTGTAAGAGTAATACAGAAAAATTTAGACAAATAAGTCATAGACTTTAGGCAATCAGTCAGAATGATGTAGCTAATCAAAAAGCTTTAGGCAAGGTAACAGATAAGCTATAAAAGAAAGCATGGAGGGGCTAAAAGGTAAAGTTTTATTGTGTAGCAGAAGCTGACCTCAGATACAGATGTTAGAGATTTTAATTCTTGCAAACAGCAGAGGGGATACTTCAAGGATACTGCACCTGGCCACGTTGATAAATGAGCCCAGAAGAGGATAAGATGTTAATGACAAGTTTGCTTTCATGCCTTCAACATGAAACCCTGTCCCATGGCTACACTATGGTTCTGTCGTTACCTCTCTGACCCACCACCAGAAGACCTTGAGCCGGCCCTCATCCCTTCATTCTCAGCCTCAAAAACCTGTTTTGCCTTTATTTCTGAGATGCCTTGGTTGACTGCAGGGAGAGGCTGTAGTGGTAAATATGAGATCCAGTCCTTTTCTTTGCCTGATCTAATCAAGACATCTCACAGCATGAAAACAGGTGATTTCCATCAACAACAAGGCAAGGTTTAGTTCCCAAGCTATGTAGGGATAGAAGCCATGAATGGAAAATTCTCAGATTGTCCTTCCCTGTCCATTTGCAAGTCCCAGATAAATAGTGCAAAAATGGACTGGCTACTTCATCACATTTATGTTAGTCAGTTGAAACAAATTTCAATGTTTCCAACTATGAAACATTTCTTCACATTTCCAGAATCACTTAGCTCATTCTCCTGACCTTTCAGGAGCCTTGAAGACCCTTTTATCATGATGGTTCTGCATGTAAATAATCCAGCATGTACCAGCCTATCTGTCTCCAACTTTCCTGGTTTTCATAAACAATTTTGTGCAATAGGCTTACTCAGACTTTTGTTAACTTTGGACCAGCCCTTTGTGCAGCAGCTCTGCATTGCTTAATCTGTTTATTAAAATATCTGTCAAAAAGACTAAACAGCAAGAGAGAAGAAAGAGCAGATGGCACCAAATTATTTGCATTAGTCAGGACCAAGGATGGCGGTGAAGAACATCTGACAGAGCTATGTATGTTCAGTCACCACAACAGCACATGAAACTCCATATGGAGGACTGAAGGGTAAGCTAAGCTGGGGGTAGAGAGAGGGAGAGCATAAACAATGTGCAGAACTTTCAAGTGGCACCAGCCATTCCCTTGTGAAATACTTTGTCGCATACAGGCTAATGAAAACCATTGCTCAGCCTATGGTTGTGTTGACAAGGGAAAAGCAGGAAATTAGAATGCAGGAAAAATGAACTGGCAATGTATACAGAGAACCCAGATATTGCTTCATCTGGAAAAATGTAAGCAGACCCATCTCTGGCATCTGCAGGAGAAATTACAAAGCTGGGAAAGAGAAGCTGGTGATGAAAACAATTAGGGGCTTGGAAATATTCCCATGGAGGGACTGGAGGGATTCTAAAGTCTCTCGGCTTTAGAAAGGAGGTAAATGAGAGAGGGCAGTGAAGGTTTGCAAAATAATGAATGGCCAGCATGGGCAGGTTGTGAGAACTAGTCTCAAAACTCAGAACAAAGCAACAGAGATAAGAAACGGGAAAGACAATGAGGCTGAAGGTTGAGCAAGACTCAAAGGGTCTGGATGTAAATATCAAAAGAAAATATCTGAAACTGTTGCAAAAATTTTATGGAGCAGATAATAAGCTTCATGTTTCAGGGCTGAAGCTGGCCCATGCTTATTAGCAATCAAGAGAAGACCCCTTAGGGTACAGAGATGATTACTCCATAGACTTTTCCATGGTTCATCCCTCCTTCCTTCAGAACACCTGGTGCTGGCAACTGTCCAAAATGGGAGATGGGACTAAGAGAACCCCTCAGGCTAGATACATTTGGTAATTCCTGATTGCCTAAAAAACATTCTAAATTTTAATGTCATTGTTATTCCCTGTGAGCAAACAACTTCTACGCTCTTTCTTACTCACCTCTCCCTTTTAGTCCCATGAGATTTTACCAGCCAGATGCTGCGTGTGTGTGAGTGTGTATTTAAGCAATACTTCATGACACTACAGTTCCTGTATTACCTCAGGGCTTCTCTTTTGGGACTCTGTATTAACTGGACTGGCTTTTTTCCCTCTAGCCTCCACAAGTTCAGCCTGTGTCAATGAAATCTCAGACTGGACCTCCGCTTGGACAACTGTCACAACCACGGCCTCCTCCACAAGGTACAGTTCTCTGATTTCCATCTCAGTGATGTCTCCGAGTCCTATCAGTCTGCCTTCTAAACAAAATGTATCAGGATAAAGGTTTTGCTCATTTTCCAATTCACTGCTGAGCAGGCAGCAAATTCAGTGTATTATTAAAACAGATACCGTCGTATTCCACAGCAGTTCAGAAAGTGGGATGAAAATTTGATATAGAGCCAGCTGATACCGGTGGTAAGTCTTGGCTCAGAAAAACAAGGCCACTTGAACTGGCACTGGAGCAGGATTCTGGCACAATGTATATAGTGTTCGCACAAAGCTGTGCGGTTACAAGTGTTAAGAAGAAATGATGAGAAGATGCTAGTGTTGTCAGGCTTGGAACAGACATCAATGTTGCAATGCCAGGATCCTTGATCATCTGTCCAGGAGTTCCCATGTCAGCAAGAGCACAGCCTCAGTTTCTCCTGACAGCAGAAGCAGGTTTGACTTACGTGGCTTGGTCAGAACAAGAGGTTTGGCCTATTGTCCTGATGTACACTGGGGTGATGAAGCACAGGAATGCCCCATGGGTAGCCAGATCACACCAACCACTCTTCACTTAACTCATTAGACCCTCATTTTTGCCACCTTCCCTTCTTTTCTCCATTTCATCTTTCTACCATATTAACACCCTCCTCTAATTACCTTTTCCTCATTGGTCACAGTTTTTGCTGCATCCAAAATTGAGCATTTATATGTAATCTTGGCATTCTATATTAGTGATACAAGCTGTTGGTCTTGCAGAATTCTACTCTCCATCTGTCTCCAGTACTCCCCTTCAATCTCTGTAAAACCTTTTCTCAAATAACTCCCCTGACCACCTGTGAAATCCAGCCAGACCTCACAACACTATCTGCAACTTTTGTCAGGTTCTCACAGTATTATTATCTGTCATGTCCAGCAATTTCTCATGTCATGCCCAATTGTTTTCTACATCCTCTTCAGTTCTGAGAGTTTGCTGCCAAAGCAACTGAAGGCAACTGGTGATGGTTCTGGAACAGAGGTATGGATAGTGATAGGATGGAATGTCTCACATCAAACTGCTGGGCCTGTGAATGGACTGATGACCCAAACCAGCAGGGTCAGCTTACATTTCCCACACAGTTGCTTCTCCAGTGACTCTTCCTTACCCAAGCAGGAAGGGCTCACCAAGGATAAGAAACACCAGATACAGAGAGTGGAGGGACTTCTTCAGTGCTGAAGAAGGTAGAGAAAAGGACAACTCTAGAGAGGAGGGCATGACATCAATTTTGGGCCTATAAGAGAGGATTTGCCATATTCTTCTCCATTAAGCTACTCTGAAGAGTCTCTCCTCTTAGCAAAACCCATCCTTCCATAGAGGTGTTCCATGCTTGTTTTCCACCACATGCATTTCCTCACATTTGTGTCTATATGTCCCTCTCAGGTGGACCACGCCAGCCACAAGGATCTCAGCCTCCACGAACAAACGCACCCCCACAGCAGCGACTGTCTCCTCAAGGACAGCAGCCCCAGAGTCCCCAGTCCACTTCCCCTCAGCAGCAAAGGTCACCTGGATCTCCACAGCAAGTCCGATCAGCAACTGGCTCCTCTCCAGTCCAGGCCTCCAAGACAGGCGCGTTCCCTCCGCAGCAGCCTCGGCCTCCTGCCCAAGGCCGGGCTCCCAGCCAGCCAAGCCCCACGGAAATGTCCAAGCAGCAAACCGCCCCACACCCACACCTGAAGTAAGTCTCTGACAAACTCCTAGTATCTGTAGATATTAGAATAAGGCTGTCCAAAAAATATCCTGAGATGACATGGAGAGTTGTTGTCAAGCAGCAGTCCCCAGGGACAAAGACCTGCACAACTGTGAGTGACTTCAGAGGTAAATGTGAATCCCTTGGCATAACAGTGCACCAGTGACCTGTTGTCAGGAAGAACATGTTGTATTTGACATCACAAAGATTTCAGACTCTTCCTCTTGTTCATGTGCTCAATGTTCATCGTGTGTTCTACCCTGGCCGTATCAACACAGCCTCCGCCTTCCCAGCAGGGTGTATAATCCTCATGGGCTGCAAACAGCACAATGTTATCCAGAAAGCTCACCAGGAGTTATTCCTTCACTATTTCCTAAGTGTAGGAGCCACAAAGGTACTTTTTGCATTTGGTAGCAAAAAGGCAGGGGGAATACAGGGAAGTGGCTGTATTCATGTATACAAAATTCCAGATGGTGACTGTATGTAGAAGCACTCTCCTGGAGCAGAGCACACTGCTGAACTATTGTGGATCTTTGGAAGCAGCTTTTGCTGTCACTCTTTGTGGAGAATATCTAGCTGGCACCATGGCAGGAAAACTGACTAAAAAAAGGTCTGCTGCTGACAAGAAGTTAACACAAGAAAATTGGTATGGACAGTCCAGAATAAAACATCGACTAGGAATAAGAAGACAATTTCTGAGAAGCAGAGAAGTGATCATGTTTATATTAGCAAGGCAAACTAAGAGGTGTTCTTAAGGATCAAAGTGTTGGTCCTAAGGCTGCAGTCACCACACTATACGTATTTCAGATATTTTTTCCAGACTGGTTTTGTGCTGGATATCTATTACTGATCAGAAGAAACTAAGTATGGTAGTAGGGAAAATTGGGATATTTACTTCAAAAGCACATCCTGATCTGAACTTGACCACTAGCAGTTACACAGTCAGCAGGAGCAGTGTGGTCAACCCAAAGACCTGCATTACAGAGTTGACAGTCAGAGCAGACAGGATGGGGAGGGTGGGAAACAGTACACATTGCAGGAGATCTGTATACTAACCAACCAGCTTCTGGGGCTCTCACAGCTGAAAGGCCAAGCCCATCATTCCTGGTAAGGCTGATAAAAGATAGGTGACCCCTAATATTAATCTCTTCTTCTGTATTAGTAGTGAAATTACTTCTGGGTTTCTCACAACAGCCTCACCAAATGGCAACTGCATACTTCTAGTCAGATATTTTCATCAACACTTACCAGTTTGGACTGAGCCACTTGCCCATGCCTCATTCTGTCCCACCTCCCCCACTTCTGGATGTCTTAGCACATGGTTATTTTCCATGTCAACCTATCCTTTTATCCTTTATCCTTGCATTTGTCTGTGTGATGAAACACAAAGTATGAGTAACCAGCTTTGAATTCCCACCTTCTCCTGTTGAGACTGAATTCTGTTTTCCCTTCCAGCAAATCGCAATCCCTGACAAACAGCTTCAGCATATCTGAGTCATCTCAGCGAGGAAATGCCACTGAAGATGAAGCAAAAGCTGAGACAATCCGCAACCTGAGGAAATCATTTGCTAGCCTGTTTTCTGATTAACAGTCCTGCTGGATCTGTGCTTTTTTCAGCCCTCATTCTACATTATGTCATACCTGATGTCATCCTGGAACACCTTCAGTGAACCCAGCGACTTAAAACTAACACCTGGGTAAAGAGAATTTAGAAAACTACAGTTGTTTTAATACAGAGAAAATATTCAAATAACGGTCTGAAAAGTGACTGTATAAAAGTATCCCTATTTCATTGGGTTTTGTACATAATCAGAATCATATCTGTTCAAATTACTGAGTTGTAAAGCAAATTTTACTCTTGCTAACCCCTGTGGAGTCAACACAGTTATGACAGCGCAAACTAGGTTTTATTTTAATTTGTATATAGTCAATACAATCGTTAATTTCCAATTACTGAATTTTTGTTAAGATCAAGCTAAAAAAAATTAGGCTCCTTTCAGAAACACACATGCAAAGGCATGTGTGCAAAGAGTCAAGAATAAGTATCCATTGACTGACAAAGTAAGCATGCTTAAGCATCCAGTGAACTGTGAAATTTTATCATAGCAACTTCATAAAAGGTCACTTTTCAGAGCAAAACTACATTCAAGATAAATACGGTACCAGGCATCACTAAGCACCAAAGATCACAAAAGCAGGTCAGACAGATGTCTGCTGCTTTGTTCCAGATCACTTTGCTCATAGCAGATAAAACATCTCTGTTTCATGCCTTGCATTTATGTCCCCAGCATGTGATTCCCAAGGTCTGAGAGAAAAATGTCATGTTCTAACCCTGTAGTCTTAGTTCAAAAATAACCTAAGAAATGGGTCTTCCACACAAAAAAACTTCTTCCCCTGCCCCTGAAAACACCAGAGTTCACACTCACAGTTCACACAAATTCCAGACAAAACCCAGCTAAACTCCAAGCACTTTGGTGACTTGGTCACATCTGGCTGTGTATGTCCCTCAGGAGCATGCTTAATTAATAGCAGATCTGATGAAGTGCACATAGTTGTGTGCTGAGTGTTCCATAATACTGAACGGACAGAGAGATGGAGTGAAATCCTGTCTCCTGCCTTGAATTCCCACTGACTTTGCTGGGGTGAATGCAAAATGAATGCAGGGTGACAAATTTGTAACAGAACTGGAAAATTATACTTCACAAATAAGATGACCTGGGTCCTTCCTGAGACACCAAGCCACAGGAGGGCATGTATGGGATTGTCCCAAGCAGTAACAATCAGTATTAGTTCTCCCTGACCATTCCCAAGAGTTATTCTTCCAGAGAAGACAGAGATGGATCATTGCTGGTGTGCTTTTCCTCTAATCCCGCAATACTGAAAGAAGCTGGGTCTGTGCATATATACTGGAACTGGGACATGACAAACCTCACACAAGCTGTGTTCATGACTGAAAAATCTCACCCTAGGTAAATCCATGTATTTATAGCTATTCATACCAGCTGAGAGTCTACCCCTTGCACCCTGGGAGGTCTGTTTAGAACACACCTAATGTAGGTGCCAGTCCTCATCCTGCCACCTCAAGATGCAGCTTTGAAGCCAGACTTGGCTTTGTGCTTCCCTTGACAACTTCACCATGCTGATACTTAGGAATGCCCAGGCAAGTCAGTAAGTCAAAAAAATATTTGAGCCAAAGGCCCAGATACTTGCTGTCACTTAAATAAGGAGAGCCCTAAAGCAGCAAAAGCAACAGCTGTATTAGCCATCTTGGATCTTATGATTCACTGGTGGGAATAAAGCCAAACAAGGAAATCCTTCCTGCATAGCACCTGTAATGAACATCTAAATCCAGTGAAGTCATCTGGACCTTGTATGACCTACCCCTGAGCAGGCCTTTGCACTCATAATAGCAAGTAACAGCATAGCTTTTCCAGATTGGAAGTCCCTCAAGAGACTCATCTGCATCAATGATTTATACCTCAAGTTCAGTATTACAGAACCACCTGATTCTCTGACAGTTTGTCTTCTGCTTTGTTTTGCTTTCCTCAGCTCTTTGCTGTCCTTCAGGGTTTGATAAGCAGTTTACCATGTAGCATCATAAATATATGTCATCATCTGAGGAAAAAAAAAACCAACAAAACAGTCCCTGCTGTTTTGTCTCTAGGAGCAATAAAAGAGTGAGAAATGGCCTTGAGCAAGCAGTGTCCCACTGGCAAGAGAAGCAGATTAACAGGCTTCACTATATGGAGAAGAGGATTTCCTTCTGTAACACTTCCCTCAGCATGGTTTATGCCTTTCCCTTCTGAATGGACACCAGAGATGCAGAGACAGAAATTAAAGTTTACTGCAAGAATCCTCAATTTTTTTTACCCCCTGAAACTCCATGATTCCCTCACCAATAGAACATATACAAAAAAGGCATGGTGACTAGTACGACATGGCCCCATAAATCAACAGCAGCTCATCACTGAAAGTGCAACAGCTGGGTCATTTGCTGAGGCTGCATTTGAACACAGCAGGACTGTCTTCTGACAGACCACAGGAACAGCACTGTCAGCTTTCATACCCAGCAGTGACTCAATCTCTTCATTTGCCTATAGCTCCCAGCTGTCACCTCTCATTGGACAAGCAAACAGAATTGCATCTCACCACCTAGCTTTAAGTTACAACATCGAGTCCAAACAACAGGCACTCTCAGCTTAGTTAGTCTATGGTTCCTGAAAAGCACCTTCAGTTTTATTCACAGAAGTGCTTTAAAACATTTAGTTGATTTCTAAAGTTAGAATGATGAAAATCTGTTCTGTCCTGTAACTGTCCCAACAGAACACTTCCAGTCTACAGTTAGGATGCTCACATACTAGATGTGGCTAGCAGAAGAGTCACAGATGCATTACCCCTTCAAGTTATCACTTTTGATGCTGGCTTTCTGCTCCAAAATCCTTACAACTCTAGAAAAGGGAATACAAGGGGCATTCTTCTTTTATATGAATGGGAAACTAAAGTACACCCAAGAGGCATTTAGGTATCTAAATACAACAGCAGGGGCAGTAAGAAAACAACAGAAAAGCTGGTAAAAAGAAGCCACATTTAAATCACAAGGCATGCAAGCCCCACTGCACACCTTGCGATTTTTCTCACACAGATGTGAACAGTGAGCACCTGGTCAAAGCTTCTTTTCACAGAATAATGAGGTTGGAAGAGACCTCTAAGATCATCAAGTCCAACCTATGCGCTAGCACCTCAGTTAGACTATAGCACCAAGTGCCATGTCCAGTCTTTTTTTAAACACATCCAGAGATGGTGATTCTACCACCTCCCTGGGAAGACAATTCCAGTACTTTATCTTTTTGGTGAAAAATATTTTCCTAATATCCAACCTATACCTTCCCTGATGTAGTTTGAGACTGTCCTCTTGTTCTGTCAGTTGCTGCCCGGTAGAAGAGACCAACCCCCACCTGTCTACAACATCCCTTCAGGAAGTTGTAGAGAGCAGTAACATCTTTTGTCCTTTGCTTTAAGTTTCACTACATGGAAGCCAGGAAACATGAGTAGGTTTGTGTGTTTGGGTCCAGCCAAAGAAGTAGCTGGGACATAGCTATAATACCCAACCATATCCACCACCTGGAAAGTTTACATTTTGCTGTTTAGCTACAAACTGAAGAAAACCTTGACTTTCTTGTCATAGCTAGGTGTGGTATTTCAAGGGAATGAACACACATCCCCAGGCAAGTAAGGTCCAGCAGAACAGCAGTCCTGCTTACAAAATACCACTTGTAAATGCAGTAGTATTTTACAGTCTTCCACTCATCATAAGCAGGTACGCAAGACCTTACACCTTGCGTACGGCTCAGTTGCTTCATCTGGTTGGCTTAAAATTTCATGAATTAGGTAAAATAATACACAGAAAAGCCAAGGATAATAGTTCCTTATTTCCAAGTGACTCAGTAACAATCTTTACAGTGCTAGATAGTACAGGTAAGGAATGCTCATCTTAAGGCATTTCATCTTTTGTGATTTCCATTTTATCACTTGCAACAACAGCAATGATACGCACACTTGACTTAGGAGCTCACAAATAAAAAAAGTAAGCAGCTCGTTTTCAAGTATTTCCTCTATTTTGTCTTCTAATTTTATGCTGTTGGTCCTGAGATACTCACTTTATACCCTGTTTTATGAATAACAGGAATTCCTCTTTAAGGAACTTTACAGTTCCAGCTAAGTCAGGTTTCCTAATCTTTGGTTCACAAGACCTTTACTACAATGTAAATGACAACAAAAAAAGGGAAGGAATATCTTCAGGTCACTTAGTGGTGTATGTATAAAAGGGCTGAGTTCATTACTTCAAAAACAAACATTTCAATGACAAAATCTAGGATAAATTGAACCTCTGGCATCAGCCTGGCAGAAGTATGACTTCATGGTTGTCTTCACAGCAAAGAGGGCCCGATTACAGAGCAGCAAATGGCTTGCCAGCAGGGCAAACCATGTGACTGTCATCAAGGCATTGGCAATGTAAGCACCACAAAATTGACTTCTCACATGCATTATGTGATCACTGTTCCCAGAAATAGCTTGGAAAAAAAAAAAAAAGGTAAGTTATTAATTACTTTATCAGTTAAAGCTCTGTAATCTTATCTGAGTATTATTTATGCATTCCTGAAGCACTCATCACAAGGACGAAATGATGCAAGACAAATACAGTGTAGATTCACCTTTTTCCTTTTTATAGTCAGTGAAATATTAAGAATTGCTGCAAACTAAGAGATCTGACTATACATTTCACTGGTGAAAATTCTTTTGGAACAAGGCAATTCAACCACTGAAGGCAAATGTTAAAAATTAAGGCTAATCTTGGTAGTGAAAGAAAACTATCTCTGTGAAGAAGAAAAGGAAGAAAGAAGCAATACAACTTTTGACAGCAAAATAAAGTATTATATTTTACTTCCACTGGCAAAACTCCCTGACCTTACTAAAGTAAATTGTTTTTATACAAAACAAGACAAACCACTGAAATCTCACCTGAAAGCACACAAGTATTACTGATTAAATAGCTTGCATTTAATAGGAAATGTCATTCCATTTCCACAGCTGGAATTTTAAAAAAGTTTTAGAAAATAGTATCAGTTGTCACAAAAATCATTAGTACCATTCACATTTATAGAAACACTGAGATCAATAATCTTAAAAAATACATAAGAAATTAAAAGTTCTAGCAAAGTTTAGTCATTCCAGTCTTCCTTTAATTGAGCTCCAGCATCAATTTGCAGGTCTCATCAGGAAACTTTTAACATAAGAAAGTTTAACTTGGTTTTGTTAGCTGCTCATTAGTTAATAAGACAACACTTGAAAGGTGCTCATAACATGTTACAATACATTTCTTTTTGGCAAGATACCATCTGATACTTAACTAATGGAACTAAATGGAATTTACTGAAGTCAGACTTCATTCTGCTTCTCATGTTGTAGTGATCCCATTCCCACTGTAACCAGGTCAGCCTATTTAATTCTTTATGTCAGATAGGGAGAAGAGATGTATTCTCTCACTGCTTTTAGCTCAAACACAATAAATGCAGTCACTTACTATAGATCCTTATTTGTAAAGTCAAGGACAAAGTCAAAAGTTTTGCTGCTGACTCTCTGTAAAATTGCTCTGCTTTTGCTTAAGACTTCTGAGTTGCACTGTGGCATGACTTTATTCAATTGTTTGTAAAATGAATTAATTTGTGTTCTAATATTTCCATTGTAAAGAAAATCCCTTTGCTGTCTTCTTTGTGCATTAAGTAACAATACAATAATGCTTTTTACCTAATAAAATATTAAAGGAAAAAGGAAACAACACCTTTAAAAATTTCCATGAACACATATCCACCATTACTGCGGCAGTATCCTGTTCTATGTGGTAACTTTTTTGTTAATAAAGATTATTAATTAGCTGGGTAGATTTTAAACAAAACCTTTCATCCTGGCAATGCAGTAAAACTCTTCAAATAAGACAGACAAGTAGAGGGTTTGTATTTAAAGTGCTCTTTATCTGATGCAGTAAGGATTTGACTGTTACTCTGGTCTCTAAGTAGCACTTCACAGACGATTAAGGGCAAGGAGGGGGAGCAGCAGAACAAACTGCTCTAAGTTGCAGCTCTTTGAGGAACAGACCTTAAGTGCCAGGTGATACAGCACTACCAGAACACAAAACAAACCCAGCCTCTGCGGTTGGAACATCACCATGCACGCATGTGCTTGACACTATCTGAAGGCAGATGTTAGTGCCTGGGATTTGCAATCTCCTGCAGTTAGAAAGCAAGCTCAGCGACTACAAAACTCCCTACAGGAAAAAGCACCTACTAAATGAATGCACGGCGAATGTCCATGGGGCGGCCCCGGCTGGGTCGAGGTGGAAACCTGTCACTGGAACCAACTCGTCCTGGAAGCATAGGGTTTGCTCCAGGCAGGGAGCCAATTGGGTCAAAATGTGGTCTGAATGGAGGAAACTGACCTGGTGCTTCTCCCTGGCCAGGAATGAGTGAGTTAATTGGGTCTCCAACATATGGAAGTGTTGGTCTCTCATCATATTCTCCCCCAATGATCATTGGGGGATAGATTGGATTTGATGGGAATGGGTTGGGTGGAAAGGGATTAGGATAGAATGGGTTGGGATGAAAGGGAATTGGATGAGGTATAGGAGGCAGAAGCATCATGTGCCTCCATCTCAGGGCTTCTTTCTTCTGTTTCAACTTTTTCTTGTATAGCTGCAGACAGAAAAAAAAAAAAGCATTTAAAGCTCTCTTAAGTGTTCCAGCTTCAGCAACTGCATTCAGTTTTACAGCACTTCTCAAAAAAGTGCTCCTCACCAGTCTGAAAACTCAGAGCAGCAATTCCCCTGCCCACCAAAGACCAGGCACAGCACCCTTGGAAGATCTCTAAAACCCACAGAGCATGCACCACTAACTTTTTGATGTTCCTTTCTGCTAGTCTGACCAATATGCATACACACTACACCACACTTATAAGCTAAACTTTAACTCAAAGTTACTGCCTCCCGAAGTCTATACTTAATTCTCAAGCTAAGATTGATCTCAGAGAGATTATATTAAAAAGCCACCTACTTCTTTCCAGTCTGTGTCCCGAGGCCTTGCAATAGGATCTATAAAGAGAAGCAAAGCATTAAGAAAAGCAACAGATCTTGTGCCACAGATATCTGCAGTTTGTCACAACTCAAAGATAATCAAGATATGAAAAACACTTTTGCTCAATACATCTTTTTCTGAAGATAATGTAGCTTAGAAAATATACAGCTCCAGGTTCATTTGACAGGTAATCTACTTGCACATCCATTCCATGTAAAGCATCATCTCCAAATGTTATTAAATAGAGAAATTGCAGAAACATCATCTCTGCCTTTGCCTTCTGACAGCACTTCCCTTAATTACCTTTGTTTCTTAACTCACTTGTGAGAAATCGAAGCAGGAATGCATCTTCCCTCCAGTTCCTAATATCTGCAATAGCCAATACACCAAGGTAGCAAAGGACACAGATGAAAACAAGGAAAGCCTACACTACACAATGGGATGAACCAAGTGGAGCACCAGTAATGGCTCAGAAGAGTGTCAACCATTTTCCTTGGCAGAAACTCTGCATCCACCTAACCAACTGTACAGATTAGTATCACAAACAACTGCATTTACTCACAGTGTTTCAATATCATTATTGGTTGCCTGAGGAGCCTCTTATAAAAACCTGTCAGAACTAACCCCTATATTAACATGAGACTGTAATTAGAAAAAGATGTGCCTAACATTACCTCGGAAATCCCGCAGATACATAAACCTCCAGAGAAGCTGGTCATTGGAAGCTGTGTAGAGATCACGGCAAACAGCGGAGAGAGAGATGAGGGAACGGACATCCAGAAGTCTGAAAATCCGAAGCTTGAGCTCAAGTGGAAGGACCAGTAATCCAAACACATCTGGCAAGTTCAAAGCTAAAGAAAGAAGAAAGAAAGTTCAGAAAGAAGACAGTAAACTCAACATCACTTAGGTAGTGTTTCTATCTCCAATGACCCTAAAAGATAGATAATCTTTCCCTTACGTCCTCTCCCTTTGGTGCCTGACTTACACCACTTTTCTGAGCAACTACTGTGATGTGACTCTTTGCAAAACAGATCTCTTGCAACTCTAACTACACTTTAGAGGTGCACAAAATAGGGCAAATGATGCTTTATACTGAGCACTACGCCTAAGAAACATTCCACACCAAATTATGCTTATAGGCTACAGAGCTAAGGAATAAGTAAAGAAAAAAAAAGACCTGCTCAATTTCATGACCCTGCAAAAACCACAAATATAGAGCACATGCTTCACATAAAATCTTCATGCGCTGAAGTCTAGAGGGAATTCCATTCTCTTCAGAACACAAAGTATGGCACTAAGTATGCAGAGAAAGCCTGGTTTCCTACTGCTTCACAAACACCAGCCTGGGTTACTTCCTACCATCCTTTCCAAGCCTTCAATGACCAGTTCCTAAAAAGATCATTCCTGAGGTCAGACTTCCAAATATGATGCTAAATAAATTTTTCTGTTTTGACAAAGAAATAGATCAAAACTACAGAACTACTGCTACAAAATTGTTGTGGTAGGATTTCCTCATCATTATGCATGGAAAACAGCCACTCCATTTCCATCTCTGAAGTGAGACTAGAGGAATCAAAAATTAAAACCAGAATTATAGTAACATTTTCTGAGTTACAAAGATTAATACCATTTCTTTACCTGCATATTTTACTTTATGCTTCCTGTTTATATGTCTATCACTGAACACCTGTTTCTAACACTCTTCCATCAAGGCTTTACACTGACTCTCTTCCTTCTATCCTCAAAAATTAAGTACCATCTCTAATTGTAAATATTTTCTCTCACCTTGTCGGGCAGCAGCCAGAAGAGAGTAAACCAGCTGGTCTTTAAAGAGACGGGACAACTTCTGAAGGTCTTTGTAAACACCTGCAACCTTCTCTATCAAAGAAGAGAGGGGAAAAAGCTTAACTTCAAGAGGCTATAATGCAACAATTATATAAGAATTACAGTTTTCTTATTAGCACAACTTTAATCTGCTTGTGATCTTGATAGGAGCAGTTCTGCAGCTAGAGTGTAACTATCCTGCAACAAGTCAGTCATTGAAAAACTAGAAACCAGTTCAATGATTGGGCTAAGCTCTCCCTTCAGCCTTAGAAGGCACAGTCAGTGGAAAGACTTGAGTTCTCTGGAAACAAACTGACTCTCAAGCTGCCAGAGCTTCCTCTGTCAGATTTCAAAGCTCCTGCCTAACAGAGATCTATGTTCTAAGAGCCTGCAACCTTCATTTCTCTGACAGAAGTATTCTTCCATTCTGTTCTCTGGAGAAAGAGGAGCAATAAGATTTTAGTGTTGTTATACTGGACACATCTCAGCACTCAGCTAGTTCTTCTACAACCTTTCAATTAGACTTCTACATAGGAGACCACACAGAACATAGGAAATTGAGTCAGCCTGGACTGCCAGTAAAGCAACTCATATCCTCCAGAGAATATAAGGATGGTCAGGTCTGTCCGCACAAGGATCCACATGGGCCTGCCCTTCTGTCCTCCCTCAACTTAGTTTTCACTCTAATTTTGGCACTCTGGAGAAACCTATGTGGTCAGCACATGTTTTCTGACAAAAAAAACTTAACAACTACAGTACCACAACAAGAGTGTAAGTACCACCAGCTTCTGAAGCCCTGAGCTGCCAGGCAGAAAAGCGATATCACCCAGCACTGTCCCAGAGATTCACACACATGCCTAGGACCTCATAAAAAACAGGCCTATGGGCCAAAGGATAAACTGAGGTCTGCAAGGTTCTTTCCTTACATTGTTAATCCAAGAAATACAATTTATTCTAATAATAAAGTGTGAGTAAATGGCTACACTCTGAAATCCTTTTAACCATGAACTTATGACTAACCTAAATGGTAACCACACTTTTATTCTTTTTTGCTATTCTGTATCTATTTGGTGCTCTACTAAAGCATATTCTTACCCACTGTGTCCCTTCTTTACTTTTCAGTTTACTACTATGAGATCATAGCTCAGGCATACCTGGGTCCTGAAAGCAAACAAAGGATGATGGCAACAGCTGGATTCTCTTAACACTTCTAATCTCTTCATTGATTTTTAATGTTGCTACAAATAAAAGAAAGAAACACATTTCAAAATTTAAAACACAGAGAGACAACAAAGACCTCTTCGTTACTGAAGCAATACGTAGTCTGGAAGTTATAAAACACATTAAAAAAGCCAAAACATTGTAGCTGAAGCAAATCTACTTCCTTCATGTCTGGCAATGATGGGAACCAAAGTTCATATGAAATGAGACAACATATTTCTACAATATTGCAATGAAAAGGCCAGCTGAAACCCCTAAGGATTAATCTCTAACAACAAGAGAGAAAGAAACAGTTAATACAGAGACTGGAAAAGAGCACCAGGAAGAGGCATCTTCTGCACCTCAGCAACCCAAGTAATAAAGGTGCAACTCAAAGCACACAAAAGCACGCTTAAGTTTTCTCCTCCTAAACAATGGTGATACTTAGGATGTGCATCCAGGATGAAGACTTGACTGACTTACCATTAATAGCAATAAGATCTCCCAGAGGCACACAAGTCAAACCAGCACAACCTTCTCCACAAAGGGGATGTGTGTACTGTAGCTTATAAACACCATTCCCTCTCCATTTCTCTGGCATGAAGACTGCCTTGGCTTCTATCCCCTACAAATGTAAAGAGATAACTGTCATACTTTTGCAATGTACCAATGCTGAGGAGTGAGG